GAACCGGTAGCGGACATTTTGAGTAGTTCGGAGAACCGGCAAATACCACCACTGGCTGGCCCCCGAGTGGGGTGGGAATGGAGATTTTGCAGTATCCTTCCCCTGCCACACCCACCAAGTCACGCCCACAGAACTGGTAGTAAAAAAATCTGGATTTCACCCCTGATCCAACTCATTTAAATTTTCAATATCTGTTCTTCTCTGGGAACATTATCATCTCCTGAAGTTCTTATTTCTTTATTTTCTATTACAGACATCAATGTTAGCCCTATTAAATCAGACTGATTTTTTAATTTCAGGTGGAATGTTTTGACTACAAAAATGGATTAAGCCATTTTTAAATGATGTTATTGCATTCACAATAAATGGCATATATCTTCAACAGTTAAAATGTCCTTCCTATATTAACTTTAAAAGACTAACTCCAGACAGAACTGTTTTTCACATAAAATTAATTTGGGAATATTTTCCCCATCTGACATACGTAGTTTGTTGTACCTACTTAGTTGCAAAGATTTTAACATGTCAAATACAGGTGGCTCAATTTTGGCTGTCATATATTCATGTATTTGCAATTCTGGCCTTATTTTTGGTTATTTGTGCATAAACATTTTTTTAAAGAGTTGGGATAAGGTTGTTTGTATGGTATAATTGTATTTGCTCACATACCCAGCCTCTTTCAATAAATGATCAAGTTATTCCAAACAACTGGGATAAGTGAAGCAAGAATGTCCCATACATTGGTCCAGCAATTCTGGTTAGAATGCAGCAACTGTATATTGGACAGACGACAGTGTTGGCCCACAGACTCCACAATCTAAACACTGAATTTCAACAGATTCAAGGGATTGTTATTTATGACCTCATTATCTACAGGTTTACACTGGCACAGAACTCCTGCAACTAATGCTGCTGATATTGAAATAAGTTTATAATTTCTAATTGAGAATTTTGGGTTGTTATAGCCTGGTAAGAATTTCTCTGGACATAATTATGTGTAAGACTACTTAACTGCTTTGCTAATCTGTTTTCTAGTGCAAACAGACTAGTTGAAAAAAAATGTTTTGAAAGGAAGTACAGGTAGCTCTTGACTTTTGTTCAATTTGTTTAGTGACCATCTGAAGTTAACATGGCACTGAAAAAAATAACATGACTTTTTCAAAGGTATGACCATTGCAGGATCCCTATGGTCATGTGATCTAAAATTCAGACACTTGGCAATTAGAATGTATTTATGACAGTGCAGTGTCCTGGGGTCATGTGATCTGCTTTTGCAACTTTCTGACAAGCAAAGTCAATGGGGAAGCCAGGTTCACTTAGCAACTGCATTGATTCACTTAACTGTGGCAAGAAAGATTATAAAATGAGGCAAAACTCATTTAACAACTATCTTGCTTAGCAACCGAATTTTTGGGCTCAATTGTGGTCATAAGTCAAGATTACTTGCGTTTTATGATTCAAGTCTGTAGTAAGCTACTCAGCTCCCAAGGCACCTTCACACATGCTAAAGTTAGCGCTCTAAAATTTTGAAGCACAATATGAAGAACAGAACCGTAAACTTTATTAAGCCCTACAAGCCACAGCAACTATGATTATAATGGTAGTTGAAAGTTATAGTCTTTACAGGAGCCACATAATATAACCAAGAGGATTCTCCAGTCGTCTGTGGAAAAAATGGAATCGGTCCAGGTAGCATACTTATTCTCTATGCCCAACATGGACTGAATACGCTACAGAGTTAAATGTAAACATGTGGTAAGATGGATGGCCAATTAATTTTACAAATAAATAAAAATTAATGGCAATGTCTAGGGGAGATTGGATATAGGCCAATCAATTTCCAACACACTATTGAGGCCTTCTTGTCCATTCAATTTTATCTGAAGAAGGAAGGCGCAAAAAATAGAAATACAGATTATGGTATGGGAGTATAAGAATTTGGAAGTTTTCTCCAGGGAATTTCTTTCAGAATTTCTGTTTTGCTCTCCCCACTTCTGAGGAAATGCTGAAATATTCTGGCATGTCTTCCCACTTAGCCCACCAAATTAGATAGCTCATTATATAGACTGAGTGATACAGGATGTTTATTAAAATTAAGCATAATATAATAAAAATGTAGACATGTTTCTCCAAATTAAATTATTTAAATATCACTTAAGACTCAAATTGTAATAAAGAAGACTAATAATAATGAAACCGTTAAGATAAACATTTTATGTCAAAGCTGCCAAATCCCAAACACAAGATATTCAAATCATACCCAAAAATGCAATTTACAAAATGCTGTCAGAACCATAATATGGTAAAAGGAAACAATTTGGCCAGCTAAATTTGCAATATTCTTTAGAGAGTAAATAATTATTAATAGAGAATTAGAGAAAAACCTTAAGGAGAATTACTGGAAATACTTTAGTTAATATTGTGCTCATTTCACTTTGTCAAACTGTCAGAAGAATAAGCAAATAATATGTAAGAAACATACAATTTAAATTTCTTAATATTAGAGTATTAGTGAACAATGCTATTAGAATTTAATACTAGAATTGTCAGCTCTCATGCAAGTCTACACGACATCAGACACAAGAGTAACTAGCAAATCTGTTGTATAGGATAGCTGAGCTACAGTGGAAGTAGAATACTTAAATAATAGACAACATACCTTCCTTAAATATTGGCCATGAAGCACCTACCACAAAAAACTGAAGCATGCTCTTCAATGAGCAGAAAACTCAGTTTTCTAATTTTGCTAAAGGACAAAGACATTCTAACATTACAAGGATAAGAAACAGTGAGACAAGCTGACCCAGCAATAATACAACTTTTTCCTTCAGAGGCAAAGAATCTTTGAACTACAAATCAGTTGGCAATCTACCTGACACACAACAAACTAGATTTCAGGACCCAAGCTAAGCCAATTGAGTTCTATAACTATATACTCAATTGCAAATACAATTATTTTTCAGGAAATAATTAGAATAATTCAGTCATGATATGAAAGATGCTGGAGACAAAGATCTGAAAAAATAAAGATAAGAGGGATAGAAAAAAAGTTGTGCTATAATTTTAATACTACACAAATATAATGAAAAGCTTTATGAGACAAATTACATTGTATAGATGTGATTTAGCATAGCAAGTGAAAGTGCTGAATTTTTTTCATGTTTAAAATAGAAATGAGTTTTTGATTCCATGTAAGCACTGTATTAATCCCATGCTCCTAAAACCAAATGCTGATATCTGATTTTGTCAAATCCAGTTTTCAGGTTATAAAATAAATCCATCAATTATTCAAAATGTTAAAAAGAACTTGCATGTATCATAGTACGGTAGAAACAATTCACGTGAAACATTTTGTTAATATTCAGCATACAGAACATATGTGCAAAGTTTACCGATATGAAAAAACAAGATTTGACAAGGAAATCACTAAATCAACTCCTCCAACAAGGCACACTGTATTACAATTAGATCAAAAACATGATTTCTTGAAATACAGTCCCCCCTTCTACATTTATATAAAAGGATAATTATTAACGGTAGAAAACATTGAAGATGTTAAAAACGTATGCACATATTGATGCAACAGAAGCATTTGCTTTTTTATACCGTTTCCCCTAAAATAAGACATCCTAGTAATAAGCCCAATTGGGATTTGAGTACATGTGCTAAAATAAGCCCTCCCCCCGAAAATAAGCCCTCCCCGAAAATATATAAATGCATGCGCAGCCGGTCCCTCCCATTTCCTCTGGTTAGGGTTAGGGAGACAAGAAATCAGGTAAGACTGCAAGAGGAGCCCCATCTTGCTCCACGGGCTCCAAAGTAATAAGATATCCCTGAAAATAAGGCCAAGCATTATTTCAGGGTTCAAAAAATGTAAGACAGGGTCTTAGTTTTGGGGAAACCTGGTAGAAAGTAAATGAAGGGATTGAAAGAGAAAACTAAGGATATCATCATCGCTAGGTCGCTAGTTTGCAGCTTTGCTAATTTTCACTGCAATTTCTAGACAGATAACAGTACAAGAAATTCTTTCTCCAGCATCAAGAAAACCCTAAAAACCTAATTATCGTTAATTATTTCTGCTTCTTACGCTAATGATTAAATCTACCTCAACATATTACCAAGTAGTATAGTAAGGAAGTATGTTTAGCAACCATCACTTGGGATAAGGATGATTAGCTTTAGTAACAGTACAATATGAACACTGTATCTGGACCACAGGATTAATTTAAGTCTGCTTCATTTGTCCTGGGTTGCAAAGCTAGGCAGCCCCCACCCCCATGGGTCACAAGCAAGTGCGGGGGGGAGGCACCACTTTTTGCAGAAAACTAACAGGCTTGCCAAAGCAAAGGAAGGCCCCCATCCAAATCGGCTCTGGGCTTGGCTGCCCCATTTGGCCCATGTGCAGAGGGAGCAAAAGTGCCGACAGCGCCCCCGACCCTCCCTGGGCTCGGCCCCCGGCGCAGCCCCAGCGCCAAGCGTTGCTTTTATTCCTTCCCCAATTTGGGGCGCTTGTGCTACTGCAAAGGCGAAGAGTCCGGGGCTGAGCCCTCCCGAGGGCCGCAGCCTTGCAGCGCCAGAAAGCAAAACCAGCAAGCGAGGGCAACGGGCCTTGGCAAGGACGTTTCGCGGGGCAAAAGATGGGCGCGGAGGGGAGCGGCGTCTCCTCCCGGCCGACCTTCCCCGCCGACTGCCGGGAGGCAGCTGGGAAGCACCGCAGCCAAGGCCGTCTATTTATTTGGTCCGTTTAGGGCGCCGCCCGACCGCCGCCAAAGACAGCGGTCACCCAAAGGAAAAGCCCCGCGGGAAACCCGAGCGGAGCCCCCGGAGAAGCCTCTCAGGAAAGACACGCCGAGGCTCTCCCCGCCCGCCCCGCTCCCGCCCCCGCCGGGCACTCGGGGCACAGCCCCCCGGCCCCCCCCCCCCCCCTCCGCCCGCTGAGGGAGCCGCGGCGAGTCCCGCTCGCGCCCGCCAGCCCCCGGGGTCGTTCCCGCAGCCCTCACCTGCCCCGCCGAACTGGCTGCTCCCCAGCGTGGTGGGCCGGGCCTTCCCGCTGTTCACGGGGGGCGAGAACATCTGCAGGGGAGACACACACACAGAGAGAGAGAGAGACGCGGCTCCTCAGCGGGGCGCGGAGGGTTGGGGTGGGGGCGCCCCGCCGCCCGCGCAGGGCCTACCGCGCTGAAGTCCAGCAGGTCGCTCAGCTCCTTGTCGGTGCCGATGGCGGCCAGGCGCTGCTGCTGCGGGTTCATCTTGGCCTCCGCCGCCGCCACCTGCGGGACGGACAGCGGCCGTCAGCGGAGAGGCCGCCCTGGCCCCGCCGCCCGCTCCGAGGGCCCCCGCGGCCGCGACAGGCGGGCGACGTGGGCCGCCTTCTTCTGGCCTCCGCCCTCCCCCCCTCCCTCTCTGGCGGAAAGCGCGGCCTCCGCCGGGCGACCTCTGAGGGGCCGCAGCACCGCCACGTCGCGCCGCCTGCCCGGGATCCCTCCGCGCAGGGCGGGGCTTGGCCTTGCCCCGCCCCGCCCCTCGCCGGCCCGACACGGCGGCGGCAGCGCCGGACAAGGGCCCGAGGGCCGCTGTCCGGGCGGCGGCGGAGAAGCCGCGTCCGGAAGGTGAGGCCACCGGGGCCGTGGTGGGCAAAGGGGGCGCCGTTCGGTCGGAGCCGAGGCCAGGTCTGCGTCCCGGGGAGGCTGCCGGGCGCCTTGGGAGGCCCGGGCTGGGGGGGGCGGGGGTGTCTTCGAGGGCGCAGCCTCCGCCATGCCCCTCCCCCCGCGCAGGCCACCCGGCGCCCCGCTCGCATTACGCTCTGATCCCTGCCCGGCACGGCGGCCCTCGGACGGGACCGACGTCTCCCCCGACGCGCCTGCGCCGCCCGCCCCGTAGAGGAGGGGCGCGTGTGGCTCCGCCCCCGGCGCTCATTGGGGCCGCGTCCCGCAGGCCAGGCGAGGGGGCGCTGCGCTGTTTCCACGGACGCCCCTTGGCCGCGCGCGGGAAACAAAGCCTCCGGACGCGTCGGGAGCCTCGCGGGTTTGGCGCGCGGGAAGCTGCCGGCTGCGTCACTCCTACCCGCCGGACCGGCCAGCGCCTCCGGGCGGGCGGGCGGGAAGGAAGACGGGACGGGCACATCGGTCAGGCGCCGCCACCGCCACCGCCACCGCCACCGCCGGCCACGTGGGGCGCCCGAGGGGAGGGGCCTCCGCGCGTCCCGACCCCCGCCGCGCGTGGCCCAGCCGCCGCCCTCGCTCGCTCGCTCGCCCGCCCGGCCGGCCGACCCCGGCGTCCCCCGGGTAAGCCCTTCGCCGCGGCCCCGCGCAGTCCGGCAGGGGGAGGGCGCCCGGGCGGCCCCGCCATCTTGGATGGAGCGCGGCCTTCTTCCGCCCCGAGCGGGCCTGGCAGGCGGCGGGGGGAGGCCGGCGGGGTCTTCGTGGCCCGGGGAGTGGCGGAGGGTGAGCGCCTCTTTCCCCGCTAGGCCTGCTGCCGCCATGGACCGTCTCCCTCACCGCCAGGCCTGGGACGGGGGGTCGGCGGCTTCGCGGGGCTCCCGGGTGACTGGGCGGGGAAAGCGAGGGTGGCTGGAGGGTCGTGGGGCAGCCCCCGCGGGGGTCGGGAGCTCCATCTCGCCCAGGCCGGAGTCTGGCTGGAAAGCCCCAGAGAGAGGGAAAGGCCCGGGGAACCCAAGGCAACCAACCCTTGGGCGGGAGGGAAGGGGCTTGTCCGTGGAGGCCCCTCCGCGCGTGGCTCACCCAGGAGATGATGGGCTAAAGGAGCAGGAAAGGCCGAGGCCTAATCGGGAGCCCCCCCCCCCACCTGCTCCTCTTTCCCCGAAGGGCTTTCCTGGGAAACCGTTTTGCTCTGAAAATGGTCCGCGCTGCCTCTTCTAATTCGAAGCGCTGGGTCTCCGCCGCCTTTCTTGCTGGTGAGGGTTGTGTTATCCAAGGCCTTCTGTGAACGTCGAGGTCCCTGTGCCAGCCTGAAATAGTGAGGGAAATTGGGCTGGGCCCAGTGAGAAGGGGCAGATGGGCCTGGACCAACCAGCTGCCTACTGCCTAAGCGTTGGGGTGGGATGGTTAGCTTGGCTTGGTGCGACCCATTAAAGTCACTGGCTTTCATGATTCCAAACCTCTAAAACGGGCCATACAAATTGTTCGTGGCCACACTAGATTAAAGCGTGTCTGGTGCGTTGAAGTAGAGAAAACGGCCTTTGGGTTTCTTTTTGTGAAGACGCAGCCGTTGGCATAGACTGTAGGGTAGGATACCTGAGCCCTCTCTTGGCCTGCCTTGCAGCTGGGCAAACCGCAGCTTTAAGCAAGGAGTGCAACCATGTCAGAACCGCGACATCTTTCCAGAATAGAACAGCTGTACGCCCCTAACAGCGGTCTGTTCCACCTGCTGCTATTTTCACTCTCTAGTTCCACAATGGCAGAGCTTTTCATGGAATGCGAAGAAGAAGAGCTTGAACCCTGGCAACAGAAAGCAAATCCCATTGTTGTTGACGATGATGACGATGACGACGAGCCTATCTTTGTTGGGGAGTTCTTGAGCTCCAAACCAACCAATACCTGTAAGGGACTGTTTTGAAATGGGAAGGGGGGCACGCACAAGGGAAAGAAGAGCAAGCTTCAAAAGTTAGTCATTGCAGTTTGCCAAGGAATTGCTAATAGGCTAGTCAAGTTTAACTTGCATGTCTGTTCAAAATGGGTTCACTCAAAAACCCTGTTGAACTGGTAGGAATCATAGCATAAATGTAGTTTAATTAAACTGGGATAATTGATTACAATGCTCTTGGATCCATTCTTGGAACAATTGCAGCTTCTTTCAGGAATACTGCAGACACTTTAAGAATTAGTGCAACCTCACAATGAGATGTTACTTTCCTTCTTTAGGTACATATTGATAAATTCCCTTGAGCATATTTTCTTTCTCCGTTATTTTCTGAAAGCAGTAATGATCATTTTTAACAGATATATTGAACAGAGTTAACCCGAATTCATCACGAATTGGAGTGCAGAATGGTGCCCCCAAAAGAGGTATGATGTTGTCCAGTGATGCCAAATGTTGAAGTCTCTGAACGCTTCTGAGTCTAACAGTGTCTAATCTTTTGTTTCCTGGTTCTCACGGCAGGTGCTGTGGCTGTTTCTCCTGGGTTTCACTCTTCAGGCAGACCTGCAACTAGTACCCTAGCTGTTCAGCCACAGCCACGAGTCAGCAGCATCTTGGGATCGTCTCAGGTCTTGCAGAAGCCGCTTTCAGGATGTTCGTCACCGCAGGAAGGAGCTAAGTCTAGTACTGGGATCCCCCAGCCCGTCAATATATCTGCTCCTCCCCAGTCCTTGTCACGGAATCTCCATATTCCTGCGTCAGCCCAGCCTACGTCCAGGCCGGTGGCCACCGTAACAGCACAGCCTGTTGCACTGAACCGGGTAGGTCTGGAGTTGCCCCATGGTGCCAGCAGCAAGAGTCCCCTGATCTGTGAAGGCTGCTGCTGCTTGCCGTGTCCTGGAAATAATTGTGTTCTGAGCACAGGGGGCAGTTGACACGGGGCAGTAGCACTGAGGACTCTGGGCCAGTGCGAGCCCCTCTGTGGGGCTTTGGAAATGGGGAAGGGCCGGGCAGAAAGTGCATCTTGCCAGAATGGAACCCCTAAAAAGGTAAACTTGAAGTGTTTCTAGAGCAACAGAAAATTGCTGTAGAATCAAAAGAGTCCCGTGGCTGAGCTCTTGAACTCATCCTCCACAGGTGAACCCAGATAGAACTTCGGGCCTGACCTTTGGTGTAAGGCAGAATTCAGGAGGGTCACAATACCAGAGTGGATCACCCATGAACACGGCAGGTATGTTCAAGTCAAGTTTTTCATTTTGCTTGTGGTTTGATGCAAAAATGGGATTTTAAAAATCAGTTGGAATCAGTTGCCCCCAGAGATAAGGAGAATCCAAGACCTTAGTGCCTTCCGCCATGCCCTTAAAACCCACTTTTTCCAGCAAGCCGGGCTGGCTTAAGAAGAAATTTTAAATGTTTTAATTGGTTTGTATTTTTAATTTTGGGCCAAATTTATATATATTTTAATTGTTTTTTAATATTTGTATTTTATGTTTTTTAATTCTGGCTGTACACCGCCCTGAGTCCTCAGGGAGAAGGGCGGTATATAAATTTTAAATAAATAAATAAATAAATAAATAATAAACAAACAAACAAAAATGGGTGGCCAGGCTCGTAATATTTAGTCAGGGACTTGAGGGGTCCTTGGTGCTTTCTGAGCTTGGTTGTTTTCTTGGAGATGTTTCATTACTCAACTAGATAACTTGGAGTGGGGTTTGCTCATAGTCAGGGACCATCAAATATTGTGTGAACATCTGAGGAAAGCTGAGGGCTAATCTCAGAGGAATGCTCTTGATAGCAATGAGTTTGAAATAAGGCATGGAGGGCCTTCCTAGCATGGCAGTCCTGCTGAACAAGGTAGGTATGGCTTCTGAGTAAAAATGACTTGGATTGCAGTGTGAGCTGTGTCTATGGATCAATTTTATGCCTTTAAGGTCACTTGGGGTAACCTGGCCTGTGGTTCGAGAGACTGAGGAGTAATTGGCTATGAAAAGCTACCTAAATTTAAATTTTAAAACATTTCTAGGGTTGTCCAAGCGTCCCTCCACTTCTGAAGCCAGTAATATCACTCCCAAAAAGGCCAAGGCTAACGAAACAGGCTCTGAGAGTGAGTCCCCTCTCCTGTCCTCTGTTAAACCTCCAGATGACCTGGTCCTGCTTGAGAAAGGTAAAGACTACCAAGAACACGCTGGGTGTCTTGTTTGGGGGGAATCTTGTCTGAAGGGGTTTGAAAGACCATTCTGAAATACTGAACAAGAAGGGTGGGGGGCATCAAAGATTGTCATCCCGGGGAATCCATGTAAGGGCTTTATTCACCTCCAGTGAATGGTCATATGGATTAAAAAATGCTTTTGGATAATGAATTTAACATCTGTCTCACATATTCAAACACACATTAAATAATAACACATACCATTCTCTTTTTCCACAGATGTTGCTTCAAGTAATATTAAGAATGGAGCCCCTTTTCCACAGGCATGTCCAAAATGTAATATTCATTTTAACCTTTTGGAGCCTTTAAAAAATCATATAAAGGTAAATATCTTCGGGATGGAAGTAAAATACAATTATAGATGTAACATTGAGTCACTTGGCTTTTTTAAACATAAAATCTGGGACTGTTTTATTCTGTTTTGTATTCTTAGTATAGATTTGACCCGTAGTGGGTTCCCCTTACCTTCGCTACTGGTTCAGAACTGTGAGCGCATGTGTGCTCGCTTTGCTCGCAGACCTTCTGCGCATGCGCAGAGCGTCCGTGATGATGTCC